AAAAAAGACACCCAACTCTGAGCCTGGTCTTGTCTCCTCCTAACTGTATGACCTTGGGACAATTATGTAGCCTCTCTGTGCCTCAATTTTCTCCTTTTTGAAATGGGGATAGTAATAGGTACCTTTCTTCACAGAGTTGTGAAGATTAAGTGTGTTAACATGTGTAAAGTGCTTAGAATAGTGTCCAATACTGTGGTAAGAAGTGCTTTGGAGTGTCAGTCATTGCTGCAGACACTGTTGGGGCCCAGGTCATATCTTCCTGGCCTACTCCAGCATTGCCTGTGAAAGCTCACACACACTCATAGCTTCCTGTCCCTTCCTTCCCTTCTTGCGGGTGTTCTCTGGCAGCAGGCGTGAGCTCAGGCCAAGTGCACAGCAGGCTGAAAGCACAGGTGTTAAAGCCCCAGAAGAGACCTTTAATCAGCGAGGGTTGGGGCTGGAGGATAAACAGCCCAGCTCCTTTGTGCCCCAGCGAGGAGATTCCTTGTCCCATGGGGTCTCTGAGAGGATCCCCAGAGGGATCGAGCCCTAGTTGTCCCTAGCAGTGACCCACTCATTCATTCATCATGGATTGGCTTGCCCCCTCTCCCTTACCATGTTTCCTAAGATTGTCTCCAAGATAAATGACTTAAACTCAAGTCCTTGTCTTAGTGGGAAGCATTGTGGGAACCAAAACACACAGCTCTTTTATATGGAAGTCTTTTAGATGCTTAAAATCCTATCTTATATATTTTTCATATAACCTACCACCCATAGTGGTTGCGGAGCTCACAATAGGATACTTGCTGAATTTTAATTCTATATCATCTCCATTTTTCATTATTTCTCTCTGTAACCCCATGAGCTTCTAATTGCAACTGTCCTCCCAGAACTTCAGATGGTTGGATAGTTATCCTTTTCTTAAATATCTCCACTCAGAGGATTCCAGGGCTCTGTTTTGCTCACCCCTATGTTCCCAGAGCCAAATGCAGTATCTGACAATAACAATACTCAATAAAAACTCTGCTGCCTTACTAATGGAAACCCTATCCTTCATGTTAAATCAGAATCTAGCTCGCTGCCAATCAAACCCCAAATAACGAGAAAGCAATCAGAAAGCTAACTTGATAGGGGCGCCTGGGTGGCTCAGTCGGTTAGGTGTATGCCTTCGGCTCAGGTCAGGATCCTAGAGTCCTGGGATCAAGCCCCACGTCAGGCTCCCTGCTCAGTGGGGAGTCTGCTTCTTCCTCCCCCTGCTCCTTCTCTCTCTCGATCACTCTCTCAAATAAATAAATAAATAAAATCTTAAAAAAAAAGAAAGCTGATTTTATATAGTAGGTACAGCAGCCTGGTGTTTATGTTGAGCTGGTTGAGACCTGCACTGTCCAGTACGGCAGCCACTAGCCACGTGTGGCTACTGAACATGCAAAACGTGGCTCGTCTGAGTTGTAACGTGCTACAAGTGTAAAGTGCACACCAGAATTTGAAGGTTCAGTACCAAAACAAAAAAAAAGTGAGATATCTCATTATGAATTTTTTACGTATCTTATATAATCTGACGTTTTTTGAAATGATTTGAATTATTTGAATAATATTCAAATACAGTTTGAATAATTTGAATTCTGTATCATAATTTGAAATATTTTGGATATACTGGGTTAAATAAAATATATTATTGATTTCACTTGTTCTTGTTACCCTTTTTAATACATACTAGAAAATTTAAAATTATGTGTGTGGCTTATGTTCTGTTTCTATTGGATAGTGCCAGTCCATCCCTAAATATGATTGCTTTTTCTCAACTATCTCTCACAGGTGGTAATTTTTATTCATCCTCTAACTGAATGTTTTTAGGGTCCTGGGCCTGTACCAGAGGTGGGGTACATGAAGATTCAGCATTGCATTGAGACTGGGATGGGGGTCACAAGGAATGAGGAAGACCCTAGAGTCTGGGTCCCCTCTGCTAGCCTTAGGCATATTCCTCTTGGATCTCAGAGAGGGAGAGCAGTGGTTAAAGCCTTAACATGTCAGTAAAAAATAATCGGAATCCAATACCTTTATCTTTACTGGAATGTCTCTGCATTCATTTGGTTGGTAGGTTTCGCATCCATGGAGTGCCTGAGTTGGGTAATATCCTCCTGACTCAGTTGAATGTCAACTTGAGAATTTAGAATCCAGGGAGGTATGCTTGAATGTAGGATGTGCATCTCCTAGTCATTGAGCAAGTCACTTAACCTTTTTAAGCCTCAGTTTCTAACTCTATAAAATAGGAATAGTGCTACCTGACCATGTATCTCACAAAATTGCTATAAGGAGCGAATCAGAGAGTGGACAGATTAGCTGTATGTGGACCAGGCTCTGGGATGAGTTCATGAAATGACCCCCATTTCAGGAGCTGCAGAAACTTTGACTCTGAGTGACTGAAATATCCCAGAGGGCATCCAAAGGCTGATGAACTATTCTTCTTCCCTTTATTGAACATCTCGATATAAAGTCTGTGGTAGACTATAGGTCAAAATATCTGTTATGACTTAATTAACTTAGATAAGTGTCTATATGACATTTAGGTTAGTATGATCATTATCCCAATGGGTTTGTTTTTATAGTTATGCACACTTTTCACTCTTGAGAACCCCAAGGAACAAAATGTTATTGGCATCCTCTCCTGAAACAAAGAACAGCTGCATTTGTTTGGGACATTTCCCAGGCTGCTCCTTCCTCCATGTGTGAAGGATCCTGTTGGTCTGTCAATCCCACATCGAAGAGGGAGCTTGGGTTGTCATCACTTCCCTTCACCAGGACTCATGCAGCTGCTGGGTACTCCGTGTGGGTTCTCTATTGTGTTTGAAAACTCTATGGTGGTCGCCTTAGGTGTAAGGAGCTCTACCTGCATTCACCTTTCCTCTAAAGTACACAGTAGTGACATGGAACCCCAGTGGAGGAAAGTCCTGGGAATGTCCCTGCTTCTACCAGTGCTGATCTCATTCTGACAACTGCCGCCATATATAAAAGGACCAGAATGTTGAGGCTGGAAGAGCCTTGAGAGAGTTGAGTGGTTCTCAATTCTGGCTGCCTGTTAGAATCTCCTAAGGAGATTTTGAAAATACTCAATGCCTAATCAGCTTTGATCCTGATACTGATTTAATTGAAATGGAACAGGGTCCTGGCAGTTGCTTCTTTTTAAGTGCTCTCCAGGGTTAAGAACCGCTAATCAGAAGTCAGGACTAAAGCTGCTGTCTCATTGCCTCATGCAGATAATTGAAGATAACATGGCTTTGGATTCAGACATCTTTGAACTTTGAATTCTGCCTCATTTACTCATTAATTGAGGCCTTGAACAAACTCTTGAAATTCTCAATTTCTTTGCTCATAAATGGGAAAAATAACACTTAGAACATTTTATGGGAAATTAAGTGTGAAGACTTATGTCTGTCTTCTGCACTCATTGTAAGTAAGCAACTTAAGCATAGGGACCATCTAGTAAATAAAAATCACACTTAACTGAGAAACTACAATGTGTCAGACACAGCAAGTACAACATTTAAATTATCCCACTTAAGCCTCACAAAATAACTGTATGTAAGTTAAAGAACAATTTCATGGGGCGCCTGGCTGGCTCAGTTAGTAAAGCATGCGACTCTTGATCTCAGGGTTGTAAGTTTGAGCCCCATGTTGGGTATAGAGATTATTTAATAACAAAAAATCTTAAAAAAAAGAATAATTTCATGCAATGAAACAAATAAGACATAGATAAGTTAACTGTGTATGCCCAGGATCTCATAGGCTACAGGAAAGTCAGGATTTGAACTCAGATCTTTCTGACTCCAGCTTGTTATCTTAGTCCATGCACTGTACTATCTCCCTCACCTGTGCTAAATGTTGTTTCCCTAGCCCCTAGCACAATGCCTGCTGCATGGAAGGTACTCAATAAATATTCAATAAGTGGATAACAATTAAAATGTGTAAATGAACAAATGAATGAGGAACCTAGCTCGTAGAAGACAGTTAGTGTTACTACTCTGTTGATCAGTCTTCTCTGCTAACTCTATCAGATAAAAAGGTTTATCTTCAACAGAGGCAACATGCAATAAGAAAAATTATAATGTGCCTTCTATTATTGCCATGACAAAATGAGAAAGTAGACAAGCAACTGATCAATCCTATTCTTTCACATACTATCAGGCAGGGTATGATTTTAACTTGAGCATGTTGATAGCTGCAGATCAGAAAAGCAAATATCAGTTCATGCTAGTTTTAGAGTCCTGTTAATCTTCCAGATTGTTATTTGGACACTAGCTGTCAGCATATTTTATGTATTTCCTACATGTCTCCTGAACACAGCTGTGCTAAAACTCCGAGGGCTCATTTTAACACACGAGAGCAGCTTGGACTAGTTGGAAATGCACGAGATGTGGAGTCAGCAAGCCTGAGTTCAGGTCTTGGCCATCCACTTACCAGCTGTGAAGCTTTAAGCCCAAGCATCTCAAATGAAATATGCATGCCCTAGAGGTTTGGGACATTATGCTGGAAGGTCTCAGAGATGCAGGATAAACACAATGCATTCATTCATTTATTAAGCAAATATTTATTGAATGCCAGGCATTGTATTTCAAGTGAAATGAACAAGACAGATAAGGTTGCCGTTCTCATGAAGCCTTAGATTCTTCAGAGAGACATCAGTTCAGATACAGATGAACACTATTAAAAAAAAAAAGATATCATGAAGTTACTTTTTAAAGGCTTGATAACAAGTTTATTTTAAAAGGCTTGGTAATGGATTATTATTAGTTGCCTACCCAGAATTCACTTTCCCCTTTCTATTGGCATCTGTTTTCAATTAGATGTCTACTATGGCTACACACCACCCATGGGATGGGCACTGGTTGGCTTAGGCCAAATATATTCAACTTCCCATTGGTTTAGGGGTAGCCAGGTAATCTAAACAGTCCAATCAGCATTAATCTTGGGACTCTGGCATGCAATCCTGGTATCAAAGTCGTTTTTACTGCTTTTCCTCTCAGCACCGGAGAATGAAGATATAATGTCAAGAGGTGCTGGGGCCATTTTGCTGCTAGGATGAGAAGAGCTTAAGGATGAAGCCAATGTGAAGAGAAGGGTGCAGGTAAGTGGACCCCACTCTGGGGTTTGCCTCATCTCTGAACTTCAAGATATAAAGGCTAATAGATTCCTTTATTGCCTAGCTGATATGAACCAACTCCTCTGTTTCTCGCACCAGAGACCTCATAACTGATACAGAAATTTGGTTCCAGGAGTGGGGTACAGTAAAAGACAAACCCTAAAACGTGGATTTTGCCGAGCAGAAGTGATGAGATAAACGGCAGAGGCCTGTTGGGAGTCAGGCCTGGACCTAGAGGCATATCAGGGGAAATGGTAGGAAATATCTAGGATTGTTGATTACAGAAAGGTCCTACAATAAAGAAACAATCTTAAGAGAAGTGACCCATCTGAAGGCAGAGAAGGTAAGAAATATGGTTTTGCTTAGAAAGGCCCTCTCTAGGTATGGACTGCAATCAGGACAACTGGAATCTAACAGTGCTGCAAAGACCAAATACTCTGCTTTCCAAGTGAAGGTTCATACAAGTAAAGACAGGAGGTAAGACTGGGGCAAAGGACAAGCCTGACCCTTTAGTCCACCCCCAAACTTCCAACTAACAGCCCTCACCTGACAAAGCACATTAGAGCAGCTGTGATGGAACCTGGGGTCAGGGAAGAAATCATTCTACTCCAAGTTATTGTCAGAAAGTGTCCAGAAACAGAAACCAACACAAAAGTAGCAGCCATTACACTGAGGCTTTAGGGGACGGTCATACAACAGGGGCCTGGCATCAGACAATATAAAGTCCTAGACTGAATACAACGACCAGAGGTAGGCTGTCTGTCTATGGTTCCTAGCCTTTGGAAGTGACAAGTCAAATATCTTGATGATAACTAAGCTTACGAAGGAGCTATATGGCCAAAGAAATCCCAGTCCTGGGCAACCACAGTCTATGACTGTTCAACTCCTATGGCAAGCTCACTCTTTGAAGTCACACACAGAAAAGGAGATTATGCAACTCCTAGAAAGGGAAACTTCTCTAGATATGTCAATGAACAAAAAGCCTCCAAGAGAAAAAAACCAGAGCCTTGCCAAATTGATTCGGCTACTCCTCCACAGCCTTATCAGAACATGAGGCTGAGAAGAAAAAAGCAAATCCTTGGTACCAGCATTTCCAAGCCAGAGTCCTGGGATTCACCCTGATCAAACTATTTAAGTCATGTTCACCTCCAAGTCACATAGCCACCCCAGGGGAATTATGTCTTATGTGTATTATTGTCTGGAATGTGTGTTCATGTGTGTGCGTGCATGCTTTCCCAACTCTCCTCTTTTATAATTGAGATTTCTTTCATTGTAGTCATCCCTGGTCTTTCTCTACTATTGTATATTGGATGTGTTGGTGATTGATACATTTGTCTTAGCCATACTTTAACCAACCAAGAAGAGCTATATCCAGACCGAAAGAAGGTTTCCTATCCCCCAGAATTCCTGGACATGGAACTAGATGCAGTATTGAATGATACTTGGGTTGTCTATTTGGGGGGACAGAATGATTGTACTTTATGTAGATATGGATGGACATTTTTGAAAAATGCATGTATGGGCAGATAGATGTATGTAGGTGCTGTATAGTCAAAGGGGTAGACTATCTAAAACCACTTAATGTATATCCTAGGATTTAGCAAATAAGTTAATATAGTATGGAAAATGAAAGCTAGGCTTCTTACAGTCAGAGAAAAGAATTATAAATAAGGAAAGGGGGAAGGCTAGAATGAACTTGGTGGTGTTGGATTAGAATTGGAAGTTAGCAACATGAACTCATAATTTTTAATATGTAGATGCACATAGAAATTGACCTAGATATCTATCTGAGAGAAAGCCTAGAAGTAATGACACTCAGTATTAAAAAATACAGATCTTAATTGCCCAGATCTTGGTTTCTGAACACCATTCTCCTGTAAAAATTACTAGGGTTCTTTGGAGAAATGGCTGATTCTAGGTCTGAGGCAACGAAAGTACAAGATGAGCATGCAATATCTTATGCTGTTAGAAATAAGGAAGTCCTAAAAAAGAAATAATGGGGATATGTCAAAAGCACATAGGAGCCTACTTGAAGGGCCCCCCAGTGGTCAGATCGGGGACAATTTGAACAACAAAATAAATAATGCTAATAATAGATTATAACCCATAGAATAAAATGAGAATCCACAAACTATACTGATATACACAAACAAACAAGTGGGAGAGAAGAAAAGTAAAGTAGAAGTCCGCTAAAAATGTAGAAGGAAATAATGCAGTTAGAAAATCACCATTTGGCAAACACCACAGTAATAATTGTTTCAGGTAAAACTCATCAGTAAATGCTAAAATTAGTAGACAAAAGTCTGAGAAATAAGATATTTACCTAATCTCAAAGTATCTTCCCGAAAGTTTATGATTAATCACAGTGGGGAAAATAGTGACATTATAATAGTGAAACATGGCAAGCCCCAGCTTCATTCAGTGATCAAGGTTTTCCTCACTGTAATGGTCTGAGTCACCATCATGTCTCCAGTTAGGATGCACTCAGGTGGATATATCATCACTCTCTGTTATTTATTCCAAAAATGATAACCTGAATTTAAATCATGAGCAAACATCAGGCAAACCCAAACTGAGAGCCATTCTACAAAATAACTGACCAGCATTCTTTAAAAATGTCAAGATCATGAAAGACAAAGAACTCTTCCAGATTAAAGGCCACTAAGGAGACATAAAAACAAAAGCAAAGAGTGATCCTGGATTAGGTCTTGAACCAGAGAAAAGATATTAGTGGAACAGTTGGTGATATTTGAATAAGGTCTGTAGATTAGTAACAGTGTTGTAGCAAAGTTAACTTCCCCATATTGATCTTAGTACAGAGGTTATGTTGGATGTTACCATCTGGAGAACCTGAGTGAAGAGTGCACAAGGAGTCTTTGTACTATATTTGTAACATGCTTGCAAGTGAAATCACTTCAAAATGAAAAGCTCAACACTTTTTAAATTACATTTTAAAATATGAAAGAAAAAACCATCAGCCTTTAAAATGTTTCCATGCCCCCTCTTCTTTCAAATCTTCCCTGACCTCTTAACTATCATAATTCCATATGTAAATTCATGTCTATATTCTAATGGTTTCTGTTATGACTCAGAGGTCCAAAGACTGGCAGCCTTTGGGCTAAATTGGGCTTCAATCCTTTTAGGTTAGGCTGGCACAAAAGTCTCCCCATCCCTGAAGATTTGATTTGTCACAGCTCCCAACTACTCTTTATTGTTTCAGACATCAGGCTGGCTCTACTCATTTATATGACTTTTTTTAGTAGTAGTTTAAACATTACTACCAAAATTTTGAAGCCTTGTGTAACAAATTAAGCATAATATATTTTCATAGATAACTTGACTTTGGGCTCTGTTCGAATAGTCACGTTTGCTGATTCATTGGTCTGAGTTAATGTTCGCCTGACTTTTATTACATCATGAAAATAAGTGGTATTTCATTTTTGACTCAGAAATAGCCATTAGTCACCAAATTCCTCCCACTGTTCTTTGAGTTTAATGGCAGTTTAGATCAATTGCCAAAATGAGGAGGTTCAGAGATATTCTGCATTTATTACTCATTTCTCAGAAACCTGATGGGCTCTGGGTGTAGAGATTACATCATCTCTTCCAGATTCTTCTTCTACCCTATAATCTAATCACCTGAGAAGCTTTTAAAATACTGATGCCTAGATGCTACTCCCAGAGATTCAGATTGAATTCTTATGCAGCAGGACCTGGACTTTCTTTCTTTTCTTTCTTGTTTCCCAGATAATTCTAATGTGCACCTAGTTTTGAGAACCACTGATCTTCCTTGGTTACGTTTGAGGTGATTGAGCACCTATTGTCCTAGGGAAAGTGTGTAATAGAACTTTGGTACCTTGACAAAGTTTATCTTTCAATACCCCTTGATATGTAGGGCAGCTCACTGAGAAGAAAGTATACATTAAAATTTCCTGGGGAGCTCGCTAAATGTGCAGATACCAAGGTCACACCCTCCCAGATTCTGATTCAGTGTTTACTACACACCATGATAATTACCTGTTAGCTGCTCCATAGAAAGAAGACCTATAGCTCTCTGTGTTCAAAGCTTTATTTCTGAATTACTTGTCCTGACCCATTCATTCCTCCCACTACTTTGCTTCTTATTAATCCCATAAACTTCCAAATGTGTTGCTCATGCTCTAATTTTCATCATCGCTTCTCTCATTAGGCTTAACTTCTGACATTTTCTTCTTGGCTCCTCGTTGACCATGGTCTGATCTCCCTCTGTGAATCTGCATTTGTTTGTCTTGGGAAACTGTCCACACAGGTAGGCCTGTTCTTCCCAGAGATTTCCCTGCTGCAAAGTCACCTCTCCCAGCTTCCATATGCTGCATTTACCCCCATTTGAGCCTCATTGTATTCACTGGGTAAAAAGCCTTCTTAAACCTGGATGGCTTAACACAACAAACATGATTGGATAGCTGGCTGTTTGAACCAGCTGGGCTAGAGTGGGATCACTTTCATCTTTGAGATCTCACCTGGGATGGCTGGGATGGCTTGGGTCCTCTCTCCACCTGATCTCTCATTCTCCATCAGTTCTCTGGGCTTCTTCATATGGTGGTGGAAGGGCTCCATGGAAAAAGCAAGAAAGGGCAAGCCCCAATAAACAAGTGTTTCTTCAAGCCTCTGCTTGGGTTACATTTGTGTATGCCCCGTTGATCAAAGCAAGTCACATGGCCAAGCCCAAAGTCAATGTGAGAGGTGGCTACCTGAAGGCATGAGTCACTGGTGCCCATTACTACAAAAATAGACCACAGCTTTCCCCCTAATGCCATTATTCATGTCCCTGTCATACGCAATACTCCCTTCCTCCGAGCATCCCTACAAATCTCATTCACCTGTAGCATTAGGCTCAAAGTCCTGGGTCCTGTGATTTCTGTCAAGTCCAAATGAGGGTGAGTTCCTTGGCTATGGCTCCTTTGGGTTCAGAACCTGTAACTGGAAGAGACAAATTATATGCTCTG